AAACATGATTAACATGTAAACAGTTTCATGTGCGTCAGTTATTTGTCCTCCTTTAAACCTTCAAACCAAACTTCCTGCTCTGTCGTATTTTCTGTCATAATTACAGGTGAAATGTTAAAATGATTCATTTTCTCTCAGTGTAGTTCACAACTATCAAAGCACTTCAATTAAATAAAAGAGTAGAAGTTAAAAAAAGCGTCTGTGGAGCCCAGCGTGAAAAATACAGACGTACAAATTTAAATAAACGCAAGCTTGAGCTGAACACACGTTTTCTAAATGATGGGAAAATATCAACTCGTTAGCTTAATTAAAGCTGAGAAGCTGTGATTGAAGTGTGCCACACATCTGCCCACTAAAACCACTAAAACCATTCATTTGCACTCTGTGTTGATCTGCAGCAGCAACCAAAAACTGTAACCGCACAGTTTCAGACTCAAATCTCTGCAAAGTTTGGAGCTGCATGTTTACATCTGACAAAGCAGCAGAAATATAAATGTATGAAGAGGCAGAGGAGCAGCATCGATTTCATTTTTCAGACGAAGCTTCATCTCCGCGGCTGGAGGCGTGGAGTTTGCATGTTCGGAGAGACAAACGGGGCATGCAAACACACCGACCGACTCCAGCATCACGTTCGCGCTAACATCGTTACACACTGTAAAGCTGCTGTTCCAGCTCAATAAAGGAGGAGGAGCTGCTCTCGATAACATCAGCAGTTCAGAACAGAAAGCCGGAGTGGAGGAGGAAGCTTGTAGGAGTGAGCACGAGCTGACCTGTGCGCATGTGTTTTTGTGTAGGTAGAAGGAGATTAGTGGCCGGAGTCACGCTACACTTTCACTCACAAACAGCAAACACGCCTCCTCTGGAGCTGAGCGCTCTTACTCACATCGTTGGGAATGAGCAGCTCCTGAGACGTGGTTTGGGAATTCGCCTCCACCCCTCCTGGGAGAGAGAGAGAAGAGATAATTCATTTTGAATGATTAGAAAACATCCAAATCATCAGGGATCAAAACACAACAAACCCCCAATGCCAAAGAGAAAAGTGGGAGGAAAACTGAAGGAAGGGCAAAGCTGAACAAAGAAGGAAAAACATTTCAACAAATCATATTTTTATTTTAGCCCATTAATAAAAAATGAAGGAATCTCTGTTTGCGCTTTAATAACAGTGTTTCTGATTTGGTGAGCACAGCTGGAGACCAGAGCGAGTCAGGATCGAGCTCAGCGTTACATCAGCCCGTCACTAACCCAGGCTCCCGTTTCTCCTGCATCCTTCATCTCTTTATTCCCATCCCCACCCACAGCTCGTGGCCACAGGACAGCTTCGCCTTCATGCTCAGCACCCCCACCCTACACCCCGTCACTTGCTTCAGTGCGATCGGGTTGAATCCAACCATCAGGCGCCGCTCTGCATCTCAGTTTTCCGCTCCCTGGTGTGCCGACACTTTTTCTGGATATTAATCGAAGGAATAAACGATAAGAGCGTCTAAATCATAAGACGTGAACACACACAGACACACAAACAGCTAACAAGGACACATTTGTCAGATTTTCTTGATTCTTACTCCTCCGATGTGTCGGATTGTCCCTCACTTTGATTTTTCTGCCTGCCTGTAGTGGAAAAGTGCATCACCAAGAATTTCTTTCAGTTTGTAGGAGGATTGCTTACGAGTTTGAGTCCCACCTCTCCTTTCTTCCTGCTGCTTTCGTGACTTTACTTTCAGAAGGAAAGTTTCTGTCAGGGTTAAAACTTCCTGCTCTCCAGTTTATCGTCCCTGCGATCACGACTCGCTGACCACGGTTTGAGTATCGATATATTTGTGCGCTGGATGATTCTATCCAACCGGCTAATGAGGAGCCAAAAAACTGATACGCTTTACCCGGACCTTCCCCTCGTCTGATCGCTCTGAAACTGAAGTGTCTCTAGTAGATCATTGCTTAGCACTGGCAGGTGTGTGTGTGTGTGAGACCCGTCCAACCACGTCTGATGAGTTTTCTACCTGGACTGGGTTGGAATAATCAGTCGCCCCCACGTGACGACTCTCTCGTCGATGGTTCTTTTTGCTGCTTCCTCTTTTCTTTCTTTCCTTTCTCGTCTTTTCCTCGCTCCCTGCCTTAGTTTTCATTCTTAAATCTCTTTCCTTTTCCTTGTTCCCCATGCCTCACGCACTCATGTTTTCCATCTGTTTCCTCTCTGGTTCTTCGTTGTACATGTACACTGACAAAAACCTGTCTATTCTATTCTATTCTATTCTATTCTATTCTATTCTTCTTCTCTGTCCTTTTGTCTTTTTTCTCCTACCTCTTTTCTGTCTTTCACTTCTGTCCTGTGTCATGGTCCGTAGTCCTGTGTGTGTGATGCGCGGGTAGCCACACCCCCAGGCTGGGCCATCACCGGCACACCTGCTCTCCATCGGAGTGATTACCTGAAGAGCTACTTAATCAGATGCTCCACGCCAGTCCGTTAATCACCTCTCTGTGGTAACTAGACTCCCGCGAAAGCGTTGCATTCATATCTTGTTGGAGCTGCGTTAAATCTTCCTACTTGTGTCTAGGTTTCGATCCGGCGTTCAGCGTCTGCCACCTGCCTGTCCTCCTGCTCAATTGGATCACCTAGTGCATCATCTGGCCCATCCACTACCTCCACGGACTTCCCTCCCGAGCTCCCACGGTCCCGCTCTAATCATAAGCCAACTGGTCTAACTCAGTTTTGATGTTTCCTCCGCTTCCCGGCTCCCTCGTAATCTTCTCCCCTTTCTTTTGCAGCCTCCCACCGCCCCGATTCCGGCTTCCTCGCGTCATTGTTTCCCCGGGTTTTTTAGTTCCTCGTTTTGCTCCTTTGGTTTTCCCGGGTCGCCTTTTGTTGTTATAATAAAGTGTCATTTTCTGCTAGCGCTTGAGTCTGCGTTTGGATCCTTTTGTGCACGCGCGCCGCGGCGCACAACACTCTGGTCCTTTGTCCTCTTATATAGTTGCTGCTTTCCCTCCTTGAGGAACGTCAGAACCTGATTGGCTCCTCTGAAGAGGTGGAGGTGAGTTCTCTCCTTTGCTACAAAAACTGTAACAAATTATTAAATTTCCTGTATTTAATTGTTTTAACGATGCCATCTCTGCGGTCTTATGATTAACGAGGCCGACACAATCAGCCGTTTGCTCAGTCACACCTTTGATTTCCACCTTTTAGTCGATTAGCGGAGCCGTTGTGCAGAGCGGCGTGGAGCCTCGCCGACGCAGCCAGAAATCTGCCGGCCAGGTTCGAGTACAGAGAGCCGCTCTGCAGTCGGCGTGTGAGCTCAGCTGGATGCTCCAAATCAAAGCCACCAGGCACAGATTGTAATTCAGCGCCGCGCTGCAGAACGAAGCTCGTGCAACATTCATTACATAATTATGCACCTGAAAAGTTCTCCCACAATAAGAGACGCAGACAGCAGAGAGAGCACATTTTTACAAACATCTCCGGTGTTTTTGATGAAGAGGATGATGAAACTCGACGTAATGACTTCTCCAAAATGAAAATAAGGTTTTTGAATAAATCTGCAGACTTTGACGTCTGTTTTCAGTCGAATGTGTGCAGACTGAACACGTATGCGTCTGCTGACAGCTCGTCTCTCTCGCGCTCACGTCACCAACATGCTGCGTGCACACGACGGTCAAATCTCTCAGAGGACCCAGAATCTCGAGTGGCTGTTTGAGGTTTTAGGCTCAGCTTTGCAGCAGTGTTATGGTTTTATTACAAGCTTTGTGTGACTGCATCAGTGAGCTGGGCTCTTAATTTCCTTTGCAATGACAGAGGGAACCATTATCACACTCTGACTCCTGAGTCTTTCACGCTCAGCCTCAGAGAGCAGACGTTATCACGTCAGAGGGAGGTGGGGAATCGTCTGCAGCACAGCACACATGGAGGCGTACAGATTAAAGGCAGTTCCTGTTAAATGCACGTTTTCCAGGAAGCTCAGCGGTTTGCAGCGTTTCAGGTTTCACTGAGGAGATCAGTCAATAATGAAACTACAGTGAGCACAAAAGCCTCTGTGGCTGTTTATTTCACAGATCACAAACCGCTCTGTGGCAACACAAACTTATTTTGTTAACCTCTCTGTGGAGTCTGATTTATTATACGGCATATTAATCTGAGCCGGACACCGAGACTGTGAGTCGCTCTTTGTTTTGACTTGTAAATACCTGCAGATTCAGACATGCGGGGGAAAAAGAGATGTTAATGAGCAGATCGCTCTGAGGCGTAATATTTACTACAGGTATATGTTTATCTAACACAGATATCAAGTTTACACAGGTCGTACTTCTTTGTAATAAATCCAGCTGTCTGCTAAAGCAGCTCCATCAGTGTGTGAGAGAAAAGCTCTTATATCAGAAGTTAATGATTCTTGGAAAGTGTTTGATCAGTAGATTAGTTTGTGGTAGACTCCGATCAGAAGAGAGTCGGGCT